TTTTTTATTTTGTGCTTTTTTTTTTTAGTTCAACTTTTCCTGTGCTTTCCCTTTTTCCATAGTCTGAGTATCTGAAGCCCTTGGCAGTGGGGGAAAGTATCTATTGAATGTTTTTCCTGCTATTATTCAAAGTAGCATGTTTCCTTAATTATTCCTTAGTTTTATGGGAATCCTGAAGAGTCTATATTGAAGACGTCTTTCTGTAGAAAATGTTTGTTTCTACTTGCAACCCAAGACCGCTTTCCTTAGCCAGGCTTTTCCTTGACTTGAAAATGGTGTAAATTTGAGTTCAGGCTTACTCAGGGGAGATCAGCATCATTATCTTCATTAATTAATTTAGTTTTGGTGTAGGTCATCAGTTTGCCTAGCTGGAAGGCAGATTTTTCCTAGGCTACTATGTATGGAACATTAGTGTCGGGTCTCAGATTCAGCCCTTTCCCACTTCACAAGCTCAAGGTCAAGTCTCCTCATCATCCCCTGCAAGACGCTCAGGTCCTGGCCTCTACCTATGTTCCTGGGAGGGAATAGTTGCCCCCAGCGCAGCATGGGCTTACAAATTATTTTGCCACTAAAGTTCTTTTTCTTTTTTCTCTTGTCCTTAGTAACTTTTTTCTTATGATCTCAGCACTACACTTAAAAGTATATCTTTTGTTCTTTATTGAGCACCTGGGTGCTTTGTGGTGAAGGACTCTTTCCATCATATGGCATACAAGCTTTCTATAAGTAGAGTTCCTTTTTATAGTTCTCACCATGGCTGGAATACTTGGGTTTTCAACATTCATTTGAATATCTTGAGCACTTTAGAGGACTAATTTCACCTTTGATTGGGGATGGGGGGAGGGATGGAGATCTGGGTAAGAGCAGTAAGAATAATTACTATTCATTGAATGCTGACTCTGGATCAAGACTATATGTGTTTTATTTACAATTCTTATTCTTATGACAACTCAGCAAGATAAGTGATAATGTTACCATTTTAGAGAAGAAAAAAAGTTTCAGAAAGTCTTATCTGTAATACTCTATAACCAACCTAAGTTTCAGAGGCAGTATTTAAACCAAGTCTCTCTGGCTTCAGTTCTCACATGCTTGTAATGCTCATTTTTAAGATGTCCCAGGGCTTTGAAAGGCAAAGTACAATGAAATAACAATTATGTCATATATGTTTACATATGTTAGGGCTAATATTATTTATAACATGAATGAATGTATGTTATATTTAAAGCAGTGGTCTAAACAAATAATTTATCTAAAGATTTATAATAAAATTATGATGGACATCAATATTGTTAGTTTCTTAGAAGCTGCTTAAAGATGGACTTTGAAACTGGAAAGTCCTTCAGAGGAATAAGAACCAGGAAAGAAATAACAAATGTCATATATGTTTACATATGTTAGGGCTAATATTATTTATAACATGAATGAATGTATGTTATATTTAAAGCAGTGGTCTAAACAAATAATTTATCTAAAGATTTATAATAAAATTATGATGGACATCAATATAGTTAGAGTAAATGCCATCGGCTGCATCAGAATTACTTGGAGTGCTAATTGAAAATTCTCAGCTGCACCCTAGATGTGAGTCAGAATCTCCAGAGGTAGGGTCAGAGAAGAGAAGTTTTTAACAGGTGCTCCTGATGATTCTGAACGCAACCAGGTGTATGAACTACAGTGCAT